AGCATAATGAAGACTTGAGGCTCAGCATCACCTCTCAACGTGGGGGAGCAAACATGGGGAAGCAAGGGCAGAGATGGGGCCACGCTGGCAGCCAGCAAGAAGTGCTTTCCCTTTCCTCTCCCTCCTCTGCAGAACAGCAGAGGGTGTTGCAGCCCAGACTGAACACCCAGGTCACTTTCTCCCACTGGCCGCAGCTCCCCAGCCTCCAGCCCAGCTGCCGGCAGGTGTGGGAGGCCAGCAGCCTGAGAGCTGCCTTTAGGCCTCCCCGCAGCCTCGCTGGGTCACGGCGCGTCGGGCAGCGTGTACCTTCGCTTTCCTGGAAAGCAACTTGTGTCGATACTGAGAAGAGCCTTGTTCTTGGAGGGGGAGGGGAGGCCCGGCCACTGCTTCACGCAAAGGGGCCACTACTTGTGCTAATTTTTCTTACAGGGCTGAACTAATGCAGCCTGCATTCACTCTAAACCACAGAAAGGTGTTTTTGTTTGTTTTTCCTTTTTTCTTTTTTTTTTTTTCAGGGGGGAAGGGGAAGGGAAGCAAGGGGCTGGAAGATTTTTTTGTGTGTTGATTTTGTCCTCCCAGCTTTTTCTATCTGTGATGGTTTTTGTCTGTTTGTTTGTTGCTCCTCTTCTTAATGCTTTGCTGTTTGCATCCACCAAAAGGAGGCCTTTAGAAAGGACCACCTAAAAGGTGAAGAGAGAAAGGTATTTGCAGTAAAAGGCTGTACATTTTGTGCTCTGCCTGCAGGCTGGATACACAGCACATCAGGAGGTCATGGCAACCATTGCCTACCTACACCCCAAGCATCCTTCATCCTCCTCTCTATACATCTTGTGCACTGTGTTGTCGCTTGTGCTGTGGGGTCCTTGCCTGCCACATCCTTGCTTCTCTCCATTGCCATTCTTCCAGGTGGCAGGAACTCCACATGCAGGCTCTGGGCTGCTCTGATCAATCACCACCAGGGTAGGCTATGTGCAGAATAGTTGATCTTCCACCCATGTTCCACCTGCAAACCCAGTCTGCACACTTTGGAGGACAGCAGCTTTGGGTCTGCCTGGAGGCCCAGTAAAGCACTGAGCCTCTAAATAGTCTGTAATGATCCAGAGACCATGCTTCAGTCCCATCTGAGCTTCCACGCACAGGATTGCTGGCAGAAGGGCAAAGCAGCACTAACACTTAGCATCATAGAACCATACAGGCTGGGAAAGACCTCTAAGATCATCTGGTCTAACTGGTCATCCAGCCACCAATATTGCCTGCTAAACCAGGTCCCTAAGTACTACATCTACCCTTGAACACCTTCAGGGATAGTGACTCCACCACCTCCATGGGCAGTATGTTCCAATTCATTGCTACTCTTTCAGAGAATAAATTTTTCCTAAAACCAACTTGAGCCTCCCAACTTGAACCTCCCCTTGATGTCATTCCCTCTTGTCCTATCATTGTTACCTTGGAGAAGTGACCGACCTCCCCTTTGATACCACCTTCTTTCAGGTCACTGTAGCAAGAGATAAGGTCTCCCCTAAGTCCCCTCTTCTTCAGACTGAAAAACCTCAGTTCCCTCAGCTGCTCCCCATCAGACTTGTGCTCCAGACCCCTCACTGCTCTGTTGCCCTTCCCTAGACACACTCCAGGGCCTCTATGTCTTTCTTATAGTGAAGGGCTCAGAAGTGATCACAGCACTTGAGTTGCAATCTCACCAGTGCCGAGTACAGAGGGACAATCACTTCCCTGCTCCTGCTGGCTGCAGTATTTCTGATACAAGCCAGGATGCCATTGGCCTTTTTGGTCACCTGGGCACACTGCTGGCTCATATTCAGCCAAGCATCAACTAATATCTCCAGGTCCATTTCCTCTACACAGTCTTCCAGCCACTCTGCCCCAAGCCTGTAGCATTGCCTGGGGTTGTTGTGACCAAGATGCAGGACCCAGTACTTGGTCCTGTTGAAATTCATCCCACTGTCCTCAGCCCAGTGATCCAGCCTTTCCATGTTCCTCCATAGGGCCTTCCTACCTCCAGGCAGGTCAACGCTTCCCCCCAACTTGGTGTCATCTACAAACTCACTGAGGGTGAACTCAATTCCCTCATCCAGGTCATCAATAAAGATATTAAACAGGATGGTTCCCAAGTCTTATCCCTAGGGAACAGCACTTATGAACAGTCGCCAGCTGGATTTAACTTCATTCACTACTGATCTCTGGGCCCAGCCATTCAGCCAGTACTTTAACCAGCACAGTGTACCAGCCCAGGCCATGGGCTGCAGCTTCCCCTGGAGAATGCTGCGAGTGACAGTGTCAAAGGCTATGATGAAGTCTAGATAGACTACATCAACAGCCTTTCCCTCAATCTCCCAATCTTAGAAAGAGATAAGGTTGGTCAGGCAGGACCTGCTTTTCATGAACCAGTGCTGGCTAGGCCTGACCCCAGTTGTCCTGCACCTGCTGTGCCGTCGCACACAAGATCTATCTGTTCCATAACCTTCCTTGGCACTGAGGTTAGGTTGACAGGTCTGCAGTTCTCCAGATCTTCCTTACAACCCTTCTTCTAGATGAGAGTCAGGCTGTCAAGTCTCCAGCCACCTGGGACCTCTCCAACCACCACCTTCCCACCCCAACACACCCCCTGCCCTCTATGTTCTTCTCATGTTGCTTTTCTGCACCTCTCTTCCTCTCTTCTCCAGATCTTCAGTGCTTCATTCTCCCCACCTTGGTCCGTTTTCTCACCACCTTACTGTTCCCTTCCTGCAGGGCAATGTGTGCTGTCACTTTCCCAAAAAACTATCCTCATTTGCTACCTCCTTTGGGTCAGCAGACACGAAGCTACTTCAGCATCCCTGTTCTTGCGAGTCAAATCTGAGCTTTGGAAAACTGTGGTCAGTGGTGCCCCGGCGCCACGTCTCACCAGCTTTTATTGCTGGAGAGGATTGCTGCAACACACTGTGGCTGTAACCACTGCAAGGTCACTGTTCCAAGTGGATGAGGGAGGAAAGGGCAAGACCCACGGGTATGTTGTTACTTTCTAAAGCAAAGGCAAAGAGAAAGAATAAAAGGAAGAATTAGAGCAGTTCGCTTACTGTTAAGGCAAGGTGGCTGGTAGAGCCTATGAAGTCACCCAATAAATGCTATAAATACACACAGAGGGAAACTGGCTCCCTACTAGGCAACTGTTAAGCAAACCACAGGATATTTTTGAAGCCGCCATCCAAAAATACAAAGAAAAGTGTGACAAGCCTCCTTGTAAACCAAAAATGGAACGGATGAGCATTTTGACTCTGCTGTGATTTAGGGCTCCAGCGGGCAGGTCCTCCTTGAAAAAGAATTACCGCTTTGTGCCGGCTCTTCTGGAAGCTCAGAAATTCTTCTGTGGTCAGCAGCATCTTCATGCTTGGTTGAAAGGAAAAACAAGGACTGATGTCTCAATACTTAGCGGAACTTCTGGCAAGGCTGCAGGTTGGATTCAGTGTGCTTCTGACTGCTTCATGATCCCCAGCAATGCAAAGCAGCTGTAAAACTCTTGCAGTCAGCTGCATAACCCAGAGTTACAGCTGCTTTGCATCACCAGACTGGTGCAAAACAACCAGAGCACGTCTACATTCTGCATCTGTGCATGGCTTTTGCAACACAGCAATCCACCTGGCATGCATGGAACAGCCACAGTGGGACTAGGCTGCCCAGAGAATCTGTGGTGCCCCATCCCTGGAGGTTCAAGGCCAGGTTGGATGGGGCCCTGGGTAGCCTGAGCTGGTGAGTGGTAGCTCTGTTCATGGCACTGGATGGGACTGGATGGGCTTTGAGATCCCTTCCGACCCAACCATTCTGTGGTTCTATGACCCGGACTTGGTTGCAGTGTATCAATGAATCAGAGTTCCAATGGTGCAAGCACTGCCTAACTGCGAGCTGGGCCTTTGGCAGTTGTGGGGTTTGTACAGAATTGTGGAGATTGTCTTTTCTTCTGCTCTTTTTCACCAGCAATATGAACACACTACACACAATGTACGTATCGTTCTATCTCCTGAATTTTTTTGCGAGTTCTCCCGTTTTTCCGAGGTTTCCGATCGTTTCATCCGGCACACCGAGACAACAGCGCACATCTTAAGGCGCCTGAAAGTCCGGAGGGCTCCGCGCAGCCCCAGCCCCCTCGCAGCCCGGGGGCGGTGCAAGCAGGGCCGATGCGGCCGCCGTGCCCGGTGCCGCTGGGGGGGCCCGGCCCGCGGTCCTTGGGGGGCAGATGCTGAGGAGCTGAGCCCGCAGCGGAGGGACGTTCTGAACCGCCTTTCTTTTTCCTTCTTTCTTTCTTTTTCCCCTCTTTCTCCCAATCTGGCCAACTTTTCTAACTTTTTTTTTTCCTTCTGCACTGTTTTTTCTTTTCCCCACTCGGAGAAGCCACGCCGTGGAAAGACGGGGTGGCGGTGGAGGAGGGAGAAACCCCTCCCCTTCCCCTCCCCCGTGGCTCCTTCCTCGGAAAAGCCACACTTGGGGGGTTTCCTCCCTTCCCTCCCCCCTCCCCGCCGCTCCCAGCGGCCGAGCAGCGCCCGCCCGGCCCCCCCCGGCCCGGTAAGGCGAGCCTCGGCCCCGGGGCCGGCGTTGAGGGTGAGGGCGGGGGGATGCGCGGCGCGGGGCCGCCTCGGTTTCGCTTCGGGGCGGGAGAGCGGCGGGGGAGGGCGAGCAGCGCTGCTGTCGCCCCGGCGCCGAGCGCTCGCTCGCACCGGCAGCAGCGCGACCCTTCGCCGGGAGATGCGGAGAGTAAGCGGGGCTCGGGGGAGGGGAAGAGAGGGGACTTTTTTCTTCTGGCTCGAAGAAGCCCGGAGGCAGCCGGGGCCGGGAGAGGGGCGTGCGGTTCGACGGAGATCGGGACGAGCGGCTCGCCGCGCTTCTTCTCCCGCCGCTGCACCGCGTTCCGCGCAGGGCTCGGCGATGCGGGGTCGGGCGGACCGCCCCGCACCTGCGCTCCTCTGCACGCGCTGCCGGTGCTGCCGGTGCTGCCCCGCTCGGCGCTCCTGCAGGGTCGGCTCTTCGCCTCTTCCCAGCGGTGGGTGCCCTTTCGGAGAATTTTTGTGCAAGCTCAGCCTGTGCTCCTCTTAGGACTTCTCCCTCCCCACACTTCGTGTTTGTTTTTTTTTTTTTTTTTAATTATTTTTATTTTTTATTTCTTTAATTTAAGCTTGGAAACGGGATCTGAACGAACCCTGAAGGTAACCAAGAGGAACTCGAGAATGTTAAATTTGTATCTGTGGCTGTTTTTTTTTTGTTTGTTTGTTTGTTTTTGTTTTTTTTTTTTTATCCGTTGGTATGAGGGAAGGATGGGAATGCGGCTCGACCACTGTTTTGGGAAGTTTGGGGTGAAGAGCACATCTGCAGGCTGTGCTCTACCTGTAACTCTCCAGGTCAGGGCTGTGTGGTCCCGGCAGCGGAGTTTGCATTCAGAGAATGTCAATGCAAAACCCAGCCACATGCTGACCGTGCTTAATTCTGCAAAACGGGGTGGGATGAGAAGCAGCTGCAGCTTCCTGATGCTTCGTTTGGTGGTGACCGGGCGGGCCCTCGTGGGGCCGTGCAGCCCTGTTTCATTCTCCAAGCAGCCATCGCACAGCCTGTGGAGTTTCAGCAGACTGCAGCCATGTGCTTGAGATGATGCTCGTGCCCAGGCTGCACTGAGCCACAGGTAAACTACCTATGGGTGTAAGGGAGCACAGGGGCGCTGTGGGCTGGTGCAGCCCCCCCGGCCTCTGTTTGCAGAGGGCTGAGTTAGGTTTCCAGATGACAGCTTTGAATACCAGCTGGTGCCTCCGTCTGTAATTCAGCTGGAATGCCTCTGGAGCTGGTGGGCAGTCCGTGCAATGGTAGATTCCTTGCTGCTGTCACTAATGCTGTGGTTGTGCTGCTGAGAAACAAACGGGAGAGGTTTCTTCCCTGGCTTCTCCTCTCTGTCCCTGCTGGAGTTTCATTCTTCTTTCTTCTATTCAGCAAGGTGTTCCCGTAGGGCATCCATTGGTCTCAATGAGAGGCTGATGCAGAACGGGGCTGCCCATGCCTCAAAGCCCGTGGTGTGGTTCAATAGGAGTGTGTGTGGTTGTAGGGGGCGGTGGGTTTTGTAAGCAAGGTGTTAAGTGTGTGTGATGTTGGAGGCACGGTGTGTTTGTTGCAAAGAAGGCAACTAATTGTTACTTTAATTACATCCCTGCTGGTGTGTACTGAGAAGCTGGAACTGAAGACAGGCATGATACCAGCTTACCTCCTGACACTGTCTGGCCTTCTGCTTGGCATCCGTGCACGGCCTCCACCCCCACTGAGGCACTCATTAGCTGAGCGTTTTGCTGGCCTTGGCCTCAGTGCCTTTACCCAAGCAGGTCAGTGGTGCTTGGGGCAGCAGGACTCGGTGGCTTTGCATTAGGGAATGAGCAGTCAGAACGAGCCAGGTGAAGTTCATTTCCCCCGTGACCAAGTGCAAGATTTCATGTTAAGATGGAGAAGCGAGGTGTTGAATGCCCTATATTTTAGCCCCTGGGAATCTCAGGCTGGGTTCAGCAGTTAGCTAATAGTACAGCAATATCGACTCAGCTTTAGTAAAAAGGCTAAATGCTGGTTTCCGTGTTGTCTTTGGAGCCCTTAGAGCTGCCCCTTATTTTCGTCCTCTTCAGTGGAGAAATGAAAAGGCCTGTGTGCACTTCACAGGAAATGAATGTCTGATACACGCTTGCAGGCTGCTCATTTCCAAGAACTGCTCTCGAGGTATTTTGATAATGCACATTCTCTCTGCCTTCTCCCTTCCTGCTCCCCTCATGCTCTCTGTGCTGCTATGTGTTCACAGATGTGTGTGAGCCCAAGGTGGGCTGTGCTGGTACTGGGCTCAAGCACAGGCGTGGGGCTGCGGGAGCTCAGCGTTGGCACTGCCTGAGATCGCAGGCAAAGCCACACGGAGCTGGCAGCGCTCAGCTGCCTTTGTCTGAGCACCCCCTGCAAATGCTGAAGGAAAACGTTGACTTGGGTAACAGTCCTTGTGGCTCTGCAGCTCAGCAATGCTGCGTGTCTGCTACCTTAGTTTCTCGGGAGCAAACTTGGGCTTAGGGAGGTCTGTGCCTTTGGCTGGGCTGCCTTTAGCTGTGTGTAAAGTTGGAGCAGTTTTGAAAGGCAGTGCTTAATACGAATGTTAAAACAAGCCCTTTGCTGCTGGATTCCTCTGCTGGAGCATGGAGGGGTGGGTGCTTCACAGTGATGGAGCAAAGAAGTTTGAGAAAGAAGAGAAATGAATGCTCTCAGATCAGCTCTCTCACTTTCCCCAGCAGCATTTTAACATGTGTGTGATTGGAGTTTTTCCCTTTTATGAGTTTTAGAATTACTTACTTTTCAATCTCGGTTACCTTTGAACTTCCTCTCTTCTCGTTTTATGAAAGAGCATAAAAAGAGCAGCCTGATTACAGGGGTGTTCCTGCTGCACCCCCTGCGTCTCTCTGCTCCATCTGAAAGCTTGCAGGTGGCTTCCTACCATCCATCCTCAGGCCCATCCCCGTTGTCTCAATTCTGCCTTTGTATTTCAGGTGTGCCAGGTGGTGGCATTGCAATCACCTTCCCACCCTGAGTATGGTCCGCTGCACCCCACTGACTTCCCACTGTTTCAGTTTTCCACATCTCTTCTGATCACTCCCTGCAGCCCTGCAGGTAAAATAGCTTTAAGTACTGCACACAGAAGGAAGAAAGCCAAAACTCTGCTTGCTTGCTTAGCTCCTCAGCAGCTCCTTCACCCCCTTGCTGGTGGCATCCCGGTGAGCTGAAGGATGGATTCCCCCAGAGGCTTTCTGGTTTTGACAAACTGAAAACACCATTTGTTTTCATTCTGTTTATCTCGGCTACCTGCTGTCCCGCTTTCATGACAGCCATCCTCATGGAAATTTGTTCCCCACCAACACTAATTCATATTCCTTTATATTCGGCTCCGCCAGCACTAGCGTTTCATCTTTGCAAGCTGTAGAGGTTTGGGCAGGCACTGCCATTGCTGCGTTTTTGTACAGTGCCTCTGACCGTGGCCACTGCTTGCAGTGTCCCTTGCACTGCTTGCAGGGGTCATCACAATCTGTCCCTTTAAGCTTTCTTTAATTGCTTCTCATGACTCAAGTCTTTTCTTGCCCACTCCTGACTCTCGGGACTAGTTTCTTTATTTCGTTTGTTGGAAATTCGCATTGCTGTGTGGCTCTGCTCTGCATCCCTCATTCCTGCTGCCGACAACACAGGGATGGATTTGGGTCCCTCGCATCTGCTGGGGCCTGAGAGCAAAGGGAGCAGCCCTCCCCTGCCCCCTCAAACCTGTGGTGCTGAGCCAGTTTTCCCTGTGGATGCTGTTCATTTCCAAGGCCTGGTGTCTTCCCTGAATTCCTTTCCTGTTGAATGTGATGGTTTTGACGAGAGGCAGCTGGCATTGTGGGGACCACTGACAGCTGTCGTGTCTCAGCATTTACTCGTGTTTCTGACAGGGTGCTAGAACAGCCCAAACCAGTCAGTTCAGCCCAGCATGATTGGAAGAAGCCTCCCCAAACCAGTGCCCTGTTGGGCAGAGGTGGGCAGCAGCACATCTGTGTCTCTCAGCTTCAGCAGGACAGCCTAAGCTGCGGCTTCGAAGCCGGGTGCACTGATTTCCTGTTTCTAACAATTTTTATATTTGCGTTCTCTTTTTGCCAGTGATGTGGAGGGGGAAAAGCCTCAGAGCCCAAACCCGGACCCACATGGGTCAGCCGGTTGGGTGCAAGACAGGGTTATGGTTTGATGCGGGGCTGAGACTGCTGGGAAAAGGCTGTTTGGTTTGGAAGGAGTTGTTCTGAGTTCACAGAGTATTTCAGAGGTGTGAGGAAGGGACCATGAAAGCCATGTTTCTTCCAGCTGTTTCAGTTAGGAGAGCAAAAGCAATTAGCTTTCCCTATGAACTGCCACCGTCGTTATTTATTTTTTTGAGCAGACATGCATGCAGGCTGCCCTACCCTGGGGAATACTTGGAGCACATCGAACTATCCCATGGGTTTTCTCCATGTAAGAACCTTTCAGCCTGTGTCAGCAGAGCATCACATTGAAGCAGAAGGCATGTCATAGAAAAGTGCATAAGAAACATAAAACCAAAGCAACAAATCCACAGGGAGGTGGAATTATTTGTGGGTTTTGGGGTATGCTCTCCAACCCCAACATTATCACAGGGGTTTGATAAGACCGGTCCTTCTGGAAGATCTGTAGAAGGGTTTCCAAAGCTCTGCATGCACTCCATCTATATGTGGAAACAGGAAATGTCACAGCACGTGTAGTGTTGTGCTGACTTGTAGGAGATAACAAACGTACAGAGTTTTTCATTTTGCATCCTGCTTGAATGCTGGCTGTATAGGGAAACATGGTTTTGGTTTGGTGTGAGTTTGTGTGTGTCACATTCTTTTTATCTGCTTTTGGAAAACCGAGCCCTGTACCCAGTGTTGTGTATTCCTTCATGTCAGACACAGTGTCACTCTTGCACCAGGCTCTGATTTATGGTCATGGCATAAAAGGTAGCGGGAGCTGCAGTTTCCCCATGGCCACACTGTGCTGGAGGAGTTGTGATTGACATTGGGATGGTCCCCTGCACCCTTCTTGTACCAGAGGTTGCGATGGGGATTGGATGCATGCTTTCAGATGGGTTGCTCAAACTGTTGTGCCTTCTGTTGAGTGCAAGCTTGAGCTTGCTATTACAAATCCTATGTTTTTTCCTGTTGCCATGATGTCTTCACATTTGGTTTTTATGGGTTCTGCTTTCTAAAGACAATGACAGTGATAAGGTCTTTGCATTTGTCCTTAGGGCGTCTGTGAGTTGTCTGGTAGTTAAACACATCGTGGCTTTGGTAGCAGCAGTAACAGTAATGACACCAATAATGTGTTTGTTGCTATCTGAAATGCTGTATAAAGCCTTCTACGGTCGTACAGGGTGAGGAGGGTTGAAGCATAGCAACCATCTCCAGATTTGTTGCATTTCACACCCATATTACAGCCAGCTAAAGGGCTCAGTCATCTGTTTGATGGGCATCTCTTTCTTTCCAAAGGATGGATGCACTCTCTGGGAAAGCTCTGCAAAAACTCAGCATTGCTGCATCAAGGCTCCTGACTTGGGACCAGTTGCAGGCCTGATATCTAGCAGCTCTTCCCTATGGACAGTAAATTTCAGGAGGTAAGTGAGCCCTTCAAGAAAGAAAAGCACAGGAATGAGTGCTCTCCAAGTGCTTGAAGCCACCATTGAGTGTGCCAGCTGTATCCAGCCCTAGGGCTGGCTTACACAGCAGCTGCACACAGCTGCCTGCTTCACCATCTCCATACATGAAACACGTGGCCTTGCCTGGATAGTGAGTCAGGAGGAAGGCAGAATGCCCTTCGTCAAGAGCACTTGTTTTGAAAAGCTCTTGAACTTGCAGCAGATCAGAAGGCCTGGGGAAACTTGTCCAGCCTTTCAACCAGTGGGACACTGGTGTTTTGGAGATTTGCTTTGGATGTAAGTGCTCTTCTTATAGTATAGAGGCAGCGATGGTCTTGGGTGTTGGGGATTTTGGGGGCTGTTTGGCAGTGAGGAAAGAAAACAAATCTTGGTATGGCAAAACAGATGAACCTTAAAAATGAAATACCAGTAAGTATTTGTAGTGGGCTAACTAACACTACCCTGCCAGCCGGTCATCTGTGGAGTTGGGACACTGAAGCTAAACAAACTCATGCTGTCTGAAGATATGACCCACGTGTAGATTTCAAACCAAGTCAGTGCGCTATGAGGATGCTATTTTTGCACTTACTTTGAATTTGAAATGATGACACAGTCTCGGTTCTTAGTCAGCCAGACTTCTAGTAGCAGTGGATTTTTCTTAAAGGAGTTGGGAGAGTGACTCAAGGTTGAAAACTAGGACAAACAGTTGTTTTCCTGTTTTGTCAAACAGTGTCTGCAGCCTTAAACAAGTCATACAATCACAGAATCGTTTGAGTTAGAAGGGACTCTTAAAGGCTACCTGATCCAACTCCCCTGCAGTGAACAAGGACACCTACAGTTACATCAGGGTGTTCCAGCCTCACAACAAATAAACACAAATAAAGTGTTTATTTGTTGTTTTTAAAGTAGTCTGAAAATGAAAGACATCCGCCTGCTTCTGTTTTCCTGTTGGGATTTATTGTCCTATCTAGACCTAAAGCTTTGGTTTGGACCCAAGAGAAGTTGCCCTTTGGGCAGAGTGGCTGCTGGTGGGAGTGGGGCTCCTTCTTGGTCCCATCACAGCTGAAGGCTCTTAGCAGGAGTGCTACCTTTTTTCCTCTTTTCTTAACTAATGTAAAATGCTCTATAGCTTCCTCGGCCATCGGAGAGGAAAAGGAGAGGGACGGAGATGCTGCATCTTCTTGTGGCGCCTGCAGTGCTGAGTCTTTGGTGGTGACAGGTTGCCCTAATGGCTGCACGTGTTGCCTTGCTTGTGTTCTGCTCACCAAATCAGATTCCCCTAAGATTTATTCTGACTGGTTGAACCCTCTGACAAGCTTTTAGCTGGCTTTTTTTTTTTTTATTTTTTAATGGAAAAGAAAAAACCCAGCTTGATTAACACCTTCCTCCCCCTCCCACCTTTCTCAGAGTGGAATTTCCCTCCCACAGCAACACGTGGCTCAAGAGCAGGATCAGTGGTGTTCAGAGCAGTGCCAGTGATGTTGTGGTCTGCAAATCACAGGGTAGAAAATAGAGTGCCACTGAAGAGGCTTCCCAGGCTTGGACAGTGTGTATGGAGGCCAGAGTGTACGACCTGTAATAGAGGTGCGCCTGACTTATTGATACCACTGTTGAGCATTGCAAGAGGAATGAGGAGAGAAAAGGTGACCCCAGGCAAGGTGCTGCTGGGCACCTCTGGGTCCCTGTGTTCCCTAGTGAGCCCATGGCCACAGTGGGGCCCACTGTGGAAGGGGCACAGGCTGCTGGGCCACAGCGCTGGGCCTGCTCAGAGCATGGCTGTCCTGCCAGCGACTGTGTTTGGGTTAATGGAGTGTGTCAAGGGACTGAGGGCAGGGGTTGGCGGTGAGTGACTGACTTGTCAGGCCTGGGGAAGTGGTATGTGACAGCTCCACTTCTCACACAGAGCGAGCCTCTGGCTTGGGGCTGTGGTTTCTATGTTTATGTATATATATATATACTCACACATACAGAGAAAATGTATTTTTTTAATAATTGAAATGACTCTGATGGATAGCTGATGGCAACACTGGATACAGGACTCTGTTTTCCAAAAGCAGACAATCTGGTGGCAACATGACGCACAGGAGATGAGCAGGGTTGAGACAGCGAGAGAGGGCACCTGCCTGAATCATAGAATCATAGTCGTAGAATGGTGTGGGCTGGAAGGGACCTCAAATCCTACCCAGCTCCAACCCCTGCTGTGGGCAGGGCTGCCACCCACCAAGTCTGGCTGCCTTGGTCCTCATCCAACCTGGCCTTGAGTGTCTCCAGTGATGGAGAAAAGGAAGCAATGGGAGCTGAGGATGGTGGCTGGGAGAGGGCAACAGCACCTGCAGGCAGTGGGGAGATATCCCTGCAGCACAAGCAGAGTGGATGGTCCTGAGCAGAAATGCTCCTTGGGCATCAGCAGAGCCTGGTGTCAGCACAAGTGCTCTCACTGGTGGCAGCTCTGAAGCTGATGATGCATTTCATAGAATCATAGAATTATTAGATTGGAAAGACCAATAGAATCATTGAGTCCGGCCACAAGCCCATGTCTATGACTGCTCTAGACCACGTCCCTCAGTGTGACATCTTTTCTTTTCTTGAATACTTCCAGAGACAGTGACTCAACCACATCTCTGGACAGCCTGTTCCAATACAGCATTATTCCTTCCGAAAAGAAATTGTTTCCAATGTCCAACCGGAACCTCCCCTGGTGCAATTTGAGGCCATCCCATCTTGTCCTGTCGCTGTTTCCCAGGAGGAGGCCAACTTCCCCTTTGCTACCACCTCCTTTGAGGTCACCGTAGAGAGCGAGGTCTCCCCTGAGCCTCCTCTTCTCCAGACTGAGCAACCCCAGTCCCCTCAGCTGCTCCTCATCAGACTTGTGCTACAGACCCTTTACAGCTCCACTGCCATTCTATGGACATGCTCTGGGGCCTCAGTGTCTTGTAGTGAAGGGCTCAAAACTGAACACAGGTGTGGACCTGGATTTCTTGCAGATTGGATCTGGGAGTATCCTGATATAAGGGAATGGGGCTTTGGTGGGAAGGGCTTGTTCCATTCTGTTGTTGCTTGTGGGTTTTGCTGTCTGTTCTGACTGAGGGGTTGCTGAATGCCAAAATGAAAGATACCCTCCTGCTTGGGAAATTCTTCTCACTTGGGAACTCATTTCCTCTTGCCAGACTCAAGGCCAGGCTGAAAAGCCCCTGGCCATCCAAAGGAGGGAAATCACAAAATAATGAGATCTGCTAGATACAAGCCAGCCTAAGGGATGTGCTGAGAAGCCCCTAGATGTGAGATGTATGAACCCAATGGATGCAGCAATGTAACCCGGTCCCTTGCACTGGTGTGGCCCAGCTGGAGTCTCTGCTGCTTGTATTTGCTTGGTGTACCTACAGCTGTGGGTTGGTGGCACACCACGGCACGGCTTTTCTCCCTGAGAAATGTCCTCACTTGGTCAGTGCGAGGATGTAGGGGTTTGCCTCACTCTGCTTCTCTCCTGCAGGCTGGAGGCGACAGAGAAAGCATGGTAAATGCAGCGTCTCCCTGGGATCCATGGGCTCTTTGAGAGATGATCAGAGGGAGGCCAGATGATCTGCAAAACACACGCACCGCTGTTGCTTGTCTGCAAAGGCAGCATCGGAGCGTTCTCCCCAGCCCCGCACCGCCTGGCCTGCCCGATCGCTTCCGGATGTTTCGCAGTTGCGAGTGGGAGGTTCTGGAGCGATCCCTCAACATCCTTCAGGCCAGTGACTTCTACTGGGGCCCGCTGTCCGTTGGGGAGGCCCACGCCAAGCTGCAGCGGGAGCCCGTCGGCACCTACCTGGTGCGGGACAGCTCGCAGGGGAATTGCTTGTTCAGCCTGAGCGTGCGGATGCCGACTGGGCCCGTCAGCCTCCGCATCTCTTTCCAAGAGGGCTATTTCCGTCTGAAGAACTGGTTTTCGGACTGCGTGGTCCGGCTGCTGGAGCTGGTGGTGGCGGGGACCCGCAACAACCCCTTGCACTTTGATGAGATGGGGGGAACTCCTCTGGTCTTTTCCGAGCCCTTGTGCAGGAGCCGCCGGACTGTGCCCACGCTGCGAGAACTGTGCCAGCGACACCTGCCTGCTCCCACCGCTGCCATGCGGACGTGCCCACGGGAGGCGGCGGTGTCACCCCTGGATAGCAGTGTGGTCCCCAGCCCCTCTGCAACTGGCACTAGGAGATGATGCTGGGTATGTGGAAGCGAAGGGTTGCACACGGCCATGCTGGAGGGGCAGGGTGCCTGCACCCACTGGCTGCAAAAGCTGTGTCTTCAAACAAGCACAACATGCCTGACCTTCCCCCGTATGGCTGGGGTGAAGCCAAGCCTGAAGAACAGCTCTTCCCACCCCCAAGTCCTGCTCGTGGCTCCATTCATGACTAATAAGTTTGAGAACAGGGCGAGCTGCCTGTCCTGCCAGGTCAGCCCCACTACTCAAAGTGCCTAAGCTAGTTTATGCTGCCAGTGTGCCTTCGTGAAGCCATATGGCCCCACAGTGCTGCATCCTGGGTATTGGTGGGCACGGGCCACAAGCTAACCGGGGGCCACATGTTAACAGGAGACCACGTATCTGTGCCTGAGCACAAATGCAAGATCTGCCCCTTCAGAGATCAGCCCTTTTGGGGAAAAAACATTGCAGCCGTGTACAATATGTGCAGCTTGAGTGGCTTCTGCATTGCTTTATTTGAACAGGTTTTTGGGAGTGCAGATGAGTTACTTTATACTACGGGCATCGTGCTCCTGAGAGGCAGGTCTGAGGTCGGTTCTGCCCTGCAGGGTGTGAGCAGACCCAGTCCAGAGCCTCTTGTCCTCATCTGATAGTATGCTGCTGCCACCTATGGGCTACAAAAAGGTGTTTTGTCTTGCCTCAAGAAGAGGCAAAGAATTTTTTATACAACTCCTAAATTTTAATAAACATGTTTTTATACTTATTTTTAAAAGCCAACAGATACAGTGGTGTTTTCATTCCGTTGCATTGCTGGAAACCCCATTAGTCTAGTGCAGAGGCATGGTAATCAAACTGCACCTGAACAAGGGAATTTCTTTTGAAGAGCAGATGCTCTTCATACATAAAGGAACATACAGTACATAAAGGAAGGGTCCTAGCTGGGATCATTAGGTGTAGTTTACCTTACGATGCAATGAAATAAGAATTGAATGAACGTAAGATAATTCCTAAAAATGTAGGGGTGAAATTTTTAGAAGTATTTTTTTTTAGTGTTTTCAGACCTGAACCGAGTGTTTGAAGGAAAGACTGGTGCTTTGAGATTCTAGAGCATGGCACAGCATCAGTGAGCTGTAACTGCAGAGAGTGTGGGACAGAAGGGATTAAATAGGGGTAGGAAAAATCTTAGCACTGTTGATTCATTTTAGGGTTCAGGTGGGCTTGATATCCTTGACAAAAACAAACAACTAAAAGCAGCTACATGGAAGCAGTTCAGTGTGTTTGGATATTGTGAAAGAGGACACCTGAATGGGATCAGGGAGGAACTGGCTTCCACAAGCATGTTGTGTGAGCAGACTGCTGTGCTCACTCTGCCCTTCCCCTTCAGACTTGCACAGGGAAAAAATACCAATTGCAGAGAGACGTGACCCTGAATTTGCTCTCTTGGCTTTAGGTGTCTTATCTGAGGAACCACTGTGTGCAGCCAGTGCAGAGAGAGATACGGTGCATTATTCATGGCAGGAGCTCTTTGGACGCTGAATTAATCTCGAGAGATTTCTGCTGCGCTGCTGGCAGCGAGGTCCTGCCCTCCTCCTGAGGCTCTGCCTTGTGATCCAAGGCTGCTGAATTAGTGCTGTGGGGAGATCCATCCCCTTGCCAGCCCCAGGGAGGGATGGGGCAGCCCGGTGGCACTGCAGCTGTGGGTGAGGGAGTGATTATCTCACTGTACTGGCTGCTCATTAGACCCCGTTTAGAATATTGCATCTAGTTTGGGGTCTCTGTTGCAACAAAAATATCATCAATTGGAGTTGGCTCAGAGGTATGACCCCAAGAGCTGCAGCACTTGCCCTGTGAGGAGAGGCTGAGGGTGCTGGGTTTGTTCAGTCTGGGGAGTAGATGGCTTTGGAGGACCTCAGAGCAACTTGCCTATACCTGTGAGGGGCTCCGCAAGGAGTCATGCTCACCACAGCATTGCCTTGTGGGAGAAGGAGACACAAGGGTGGAAACAAGTCCAAGCTGGGTAGGATGGGGGGATCCATTTGCAGACAGGTTGCCCAGAAAGGTGCGCAGTCTCCATGCTTAGAAGTCTTCAAGGCCCAACTGGATTGGCTTGTTACTAACTCTTGTTACTCCTGTGCCACCCTGCCAGCCCCTCGGGTGGCTTTGGGCATGCGCTGGCTTCCAGGGGAAGTCCTGGTGGGTCAGCTGAGCATGTTCTTCTCCCTCTGTTCTTCAACCCAGGGGTTGAAGCCATGTCTCCTGCCCTTCTCCTCACTCCTTTCATATATGGGGCATGCTGGCTGCCTTCCCTCCCTCCCTTCCTAAACTGGGGGTGGTGGGAAAGCGTTTGGCTCATTTCTTCACCATTTACAGCTGAGCACAGAAATGCTTCTGTTTTATGGCAGCAGTTATAACTCTCTGAGGGAAGAACTTTCTGACTGGATCGCACTGACCTGGTGATGAACTGCTCTCATTTGGCCCGAAATGAGCATCTTGGGCTGCGCGGCCGAGGGCTGAGGAACAGCCGTGTTTGTGGCCAGGGCTGTGCTTGAGGAAAATCACACATAGGGAGGAAGACGTAGTTTGGATTTTAATAAAATCTACTTTATTTTGTTCTTTTTTTTTTTAATTGCGCAGCAAGTACTTGTCTGTCTTACAAGTAAGTCAATTCCATGCAGGGCTGTAGCAAATTGATTTGAGATCTGAGGATGAAAAGCAGTGAATGACTGCCAAGTATTGTTACATTATGAAAGTTTAAAGCACATTATGATGCCTACCCTCATTATCCCAGAGGAAAGGGCACGTCTTGGATCAGGATTGGTGCAAGAAAAGAAATCAATTTGGGAAGAACAAGAATGTGAGAAATGCATCAGATGTGGCCAGCTTTACGGAGGGGGCCAGAAGTCCTTTTCCTTATACTCTGGATGCAAAAAAAAAGGCACACAGAGTAAAATCAGAAGAGGTTACATCCGAGGAGTGACTGCTGGTGACATCCATGGGCTCCCAGCTGTGGGTGGGATATGCTGGCTGCAGCCACCCTGCCCCTGAGCCACACAGAGCAGCACATCGTGGCCCACCGCCAAGCGCTGTGTTTGGTGGCTCCTAAAGGAGCTTATAAAGAAATTACAAACTTCCTCACAACCCCGCAAGCACCGTTTGGGGACTAGAAGAAAATTGTTTGCATTTTTATACGCTATGTTACACATTTCTCCAGCTGACTCGTTTCAGTTTGCCGAGGAAGCTTACACAGCCCTGCAGATGGTTTCCTTCAACCACTCGTCCTCACAGCCTGAATGGAGAGGTCTGGCCTCTTTGCCAGGCTGCTCGGGGCTGGATCAGTCTCACTGGGAAGCTGCTCCTCATCTGCTGCCTGCCAGCACTGCTCTGGGGTCGCAAGGGTTAATTTCCCAAAATCCTCCGCTGAAACTTGTTAATGATTTCCATATGTACCCCTGTGTGCACGCAGGAGGGGCCCCACGGCCAGCAGCTCTTGTAATAACACTTGATTACCTCTGACATAAGGGTCTGTATTGCATTAGGGCTCTGCCTCAGAGCATCAAAATTCACCCAAACACAAAAGTTTTGTGCAAACACGTTTCAAAAAATGCATTAACATTTCAGCATATTCACTGTCTGGAAATGAGTGCTCCTATGCAGGCAAGCTTCAGAACAAAACCTCCTGCATACCCACAGCGGTGCCTTGGTTAGGGCTCTTGCCCTGACATCCTGCATAAAATATATATGTCCATCATTATCATAGAATCATGGAATTGAAGTTTGAGCTGGAAGAGACCATTAAAGTTCATCTGTGGTCCAACCCGTCTACAATGAACAGAGACACCCACAGCTCGATCAGGGTGCTCAGAGCCCCTCCAGCCTGATTTTGGATGTCTCCAGGGACAGGGATCCACCTACTCTTTGGGCAGCCTTTGCCAGTGCCTTACCCTCATGATGGTAAAACACTTCTTCCAGTGTAAACCTCCCCTTGTTTAGTTTGAAACCATTTCTCTGTGTCCTATCACAACAGACTCTGCTAAAGTGTCTCCCTTGGTCTCTTATAGCCCTCCTTTAGACACTGACCTTTAAATGTGCTAAAAGTCTCAATTTGCAAGGATACCTTGGTTAGGGGAATCTGACCATTTTGTCTGAGTTCATTTTGCAGCAATCCCTCAGACATTTGGCATTTGCAAACTGCTGTGCACAGCGGAGCTTTCTGCTATTGCCTGGCACAAAGGCAGGGCTGCAGAGGGCAGACGGCCATCAAAGGGAGAGCAGGTGTCAAAGGAGACCAGCAGCATCCCCAGCTGCCTCCCTGCAGAGCTGCCAGGGCCCAGCGTGCTCTCTGCTCCTGTGATCTCGGCTGGGGCAGCAGTACTGCCATTTTGATGCAGGCAGAGCAGAGCACTTCCAACTGCCTCCCGTAGCGGCTGGCTGTTGGCTCGGACTTCTCATCAGGGAGGTCTGAGCCAGAGGTCTGCAGAGCATAAGTGACATGGAGTAGGAGGCTGAGTTGTGTTTTCTTAAAAAACAAACAAACAAAAAAAAAACAAAACAAAACAAAAAAAAGAAGGAAGCAGCCAATCAGATACTCAAGTGTGAGTGTGAAACAAAAGGAGGTATTTGTTCACGTGATGTCTGATAGTGACAGCACAAGGGGGAATTGCTTTAAACTGAAAGAGGGGAGGTTTAGGTTAGATACTGGGAGGGCAGTTTTTACTCAGAGGGCAGAGAGGCACTCTGCTCAGTGCACAGGCTGCCCAGAGAGCTGTGGGTGCCCCATCCCTGGAGGTTCAAGGCCAGGTTGGATGGGGCCCTGGGCAGCCTGAGCTGGGGGGCGGCAGCCCTGCACACAGCACGGAGTGGGACTGGGTGGGCTCTGAGGTCTCTTCCAACCCCACCGTTCTGTGAATGTATGATTCTGCGATTCTCTGGGTAGGAAGGTCAGAAGCAGAGGACACCCTCAGACCCAAGTGACAGCTGGAACAGCTCTGCCAAGTGCACAGGTTGTGTGGGAAAGGAGCTTCAAACATGTTGTGCAATGAGGACGAAGAAAACACCACACAGCAGGGGCAGCCTCCTAGATCTGCATCCCACTCTGAGCAAACAGCTAAAGGAAGATCGGTGTGGATCCTGGGCTACCTCCTTCTCTGCAATGCCACTTTTGCTGGCAGAGCTGCAGACCTTCCAGCCGTTCCCAGATGCCATTGAAATCAGTGACCAGATTGCTGTTTGCCTCAGAAGGTTTTGGATGAGACCCCCTCATTTTGTGAGGCTGGTGTGAGCAAACACCGGCTTTCTGCAGTAAACGTAATCACAGCAAACCATGCTCCCACTGGCTTGCGCATCAAATCATGCTGGGGGAATTGCTGGCATTCGGCATGATTAGCCTAAGCGTAGATGCCTTCCAGCTCATAAACAATAGCCTCAAGGACTGGAAAGGATCACAAACAAAGCACTTACAGACAAGACAGTGTTTTCAGAAGTGACTTGAGAGCTTATGTCCATTGGGGGTTTGTCTTTTAAAAATAAACCAGAAGTAAACAAATTGAGAAAGACGTCTCTGAAGAATCTAAGAGAATGAAAGCAAGGATGTACTACTTCAAAATGGAAAAATGAAGGTGGGGAAAAGCTTTGGGCAAGGCTGGTAATTCCGTTTAAGATGCTTAAGACAATGTGCCCACAGCCTTGAGAATGGATGGGCTTTGGAAATGTCACCTTTCTGGGCAGATATGGAGTTACAGGGTGGGTGGGAGGAAAGACATGGGCTGCAT